TGTCACGTTACACGTCTTGCTACTTTTTCAATATTCTTATGCTATGAGCAGATCTTTACTTTCGCCACAGTGAAATGATATCATTCTAAGCACTGTTCATGACAGATTATGGCTCAACTTATCAGAGAGATTTTTCATCGATATTCCACTATTTGATCTCTTTTTAACGGTGATAGATAGCTGTAGAAAGAATATGGAAAGTGGAAAAACTATTGTGAAAGAACTGTATCACAAAACTTTTTATGCTTTTTGAAATGCTGACCAAATTTGCTTCCTACGTATCCGGGTAGATTGCTTGAGTTCTTCATAGGCAAACTCACCAGTGCTTGCGTTTGCCACAGTTGCTTCATGCTCATTGAATTTGCAAGCTTCGATAAGATCAAGTGTTGACTGGACTGGAATCAAATCTGGTACAGAATTGTGGCCTGAAATCGCACTGATTGTGCAGCATGAAAAGTATAAAATTTGTTTAGTGACAAACTTAAACACACTAAAAACTGCGCTATGAACCTATTCTGTCTGCGTTTTTCATAATAATATTAATAACACTAACGTTCACTTCCTTATTCTATTATTATAAAGCTTTTTCTTCATAAAGTTGACTAAGGTTAATGGTTTAATTTTGCAATCAACAACTTACGTAATACTCAATAAACGAACTCGCTTTTCCTTTGTATTGTGAAAAAAACCTCTCTTCCATAATAATAGTAGTAACATGATAGTATTAATAATGATATTTTAATAATAATAATAATATATAAATAATAATAATAATAATAATAACAATGGTAATAATAATAGTGATAAAATGATAATAATAATAATAGTAATAATAATAATAGTAAATAATCGAAGACACAAGATTCTGTGATATACTCCAAGTAATATGAATAGCAGCTAGCCACTTACGGGCATCCTCGTACTTCCTCTCTGTGAGGTTACAATACTTGACCTGCCGCTGGCCACCGCCTCCTACAATCTTCGGTGGAACTGCCACATTTCTGGTGCGCGATGGCATCGAGATACATCTGAAGGATCACGGCTTAACCATGAACAGTTACGGTATATCGTTGTACATTTGCTCAAACGGCGAAGTCTCCTTGAAAGATATGACGAGAACTCGTATTTACCAGTTCAGTATCTTGTATTTTTCGTCTGTATGATACTATTAAACATCGGAATGGTCCACATACATCATTCACACTGGGTGGTAGTAAGCTCTAGCACAGTTTTTACTCAAGAGATATTCTGCAAGTTGGGTCCACAGTTCCATTCCTTAGGGACTCGAATGATAAACTAGAATCTTCTGACTTCCCCAGCACTTGTGATTCATTAAGCAGCATGGTTACCTGAACGATAGTGATTCCTGACATTGGTTCGCCTTAATATGGCTATTGATCTGATCTGGTGAGTTCATCTCTATCTTGGCAAACTATGCTCAAAAAAGGAAAACCGGACTCATTCGAACCTGTTTCATACCACTTGCAGAGGTAACTGAATGCAAATCTAGCCTATAGAGTGACGGTCACGGCCACGCGATCTACGAAGTCAGTGTTTCATTGTTCCGGACAGGCCAAGTACATCGCACTCGCAGACACATGAAGCTTTTAACTAAGTATTTCTCGATTACCAGATTATTTCAATGTATCCTCCTCAACGAAGCATGCTCTTGACATGGCTTTTCAATGATTTTTGTTCTACGACGTCCAATGAGCTTTATTCAAATAGCAACGGACCAGAGTATTTCTAGAACTACATGCGCTTCGCTACACTTATAAACAAGAAGCCGTGACGAAAATCACGAACGGTAAACAACTTGAGTTCTTTGGATGAAACAAAAGTTAGCAGCTAAGAGGACCACCTGGCAGATGAGCACAGCAGCCACACCCAGCCTGATGGATTGAGTGATAAATTACCAGGTATTTGTTTTGTTCTAAATTGCATCTGTTTTGAATGCAAAGAGATCTGACAGATGTAGGATAATTCGGAACCGTTTGCTTTAGTTCTTCTATGGTTTATCATAAAGATTTGAGGCATAAAGACAGAGGAAACACAAACATGTGTGCAGATGAGGCACTAGTGTTTTAGGCATAAGATGAATTGACGGTAATTAAGACCTGTGTAACAATCGGTAAAGCTACTATTGGATTGAAATATATATATTTATATATATGTTTATATGTGTATATATACATGCATATATATGTATATATGTGCATATATATGTACATATATGTATTTAAATGTACATAAATATGTATGTATCTATGTATATATATGTACATATATATGTATAATGTATATATATGTATGTATATATGTATATATATGTGCGTGTATATAGTTCCCTGGTTCATGAAGTGTAAAACATATATATTCGTCACACGTATATGCATATATATATATTATATATATTATATATATATATACTGAGTATAGATTAAGGAAAAAGTTCTCTAACACTCGCTGAAAACTCAAAGTTCATACATGAATCAAATTGTACACAATAAGATTACTCTTCAAAATAAAGGCCATCATTATCCACAATCTTCTGCCAGCTATTTAAGCTTCCGGATCTGCTCGAAATCGCCATTCCTTGACCTTTGAATCAAAAAAACTCCTGTCATGCCTCTTCAACTTAATTAAATGTCTCCAATCGGCGTCCACGCAGAAAATGTTGTATAGAACGATAAAAGACCTTAATCGGACGGCGCAGCATTTGGACTGTAGGCTGGATGTGGCAAGACCTCGACTCCCTCCACTATATCAAACAACTCCTTAGTCTTATTTGCGGTTTGAGGTTTGACATTGTCTTGCTTTGATGCACTGAAGCGCAAATTTAATGTATTCAATGTACTATAACTAACATTGCAGCTGGATTTTCTTATGGAAATATCCTAAGCTACTTCGAGAATTTACAACAACCGATACTGTGTTACACGGACATAAAATCCGAATTTTTCGTGCGTGTTAAGGAACCTTCTCTTCAGGCTAGTAATACATATGATCGATAGAAAGTGATACTGGTCGAATTGTGAAATTACAAAACTCCTTACTAAGAGTGATATTGAAGGCAATCTTGTTAGTATGAAAATCTCTTAGCAGACAAATAGCTAATCTTACCGTCTGATTTTCGATGCAGAACGAATTTCAGCAGTCATGTCAATGCCAGGAGAAACGAGTCGATTGAAAAATTAGTGCGATGAACAGACCAACACAAATAAATCTTAGCACGTCGCATATATCAGAGGAACTTTGCAACCATCCGCCAGAGATGCTGATCAGATTTCGATCGAAAGCAAAAGCTTTCACGATTGGTTTTTTCATAGTTAAGTAAAAGGACCAACTTTTCTCATGATTATTAAAAAAATTCCTGTAGGATGAGATGGTGGCTTAAACTGAACCAAAGTTAAGAGTCACAGTTCACGATTGTTCGGTGTGAAGTATCTCTTTTGAAAACGAGAGTTGATACCCCATAATAATTCAGAATACAATCTTTGTTCACTGAAATCCAACTTAATAGTGCCCGATCACAACGTTTTAAGGACAACAGACTTTTTGCTGTTTTTGTCTTCATTTTATTTCATACTTGGAATATATCTGGATTTGCAAATGATTATTATTCCAGACAACAGCGAGTTTTCCTACTTTCAAAGAAATAGCCAGCTGCTAATGTGAGAACAGCTTTACTGTTAACGGCGCAGTTGTTTGTGCGGGAACCAACTCACAGTCACGGGTAAGTTTCATATATTTATTTACATAGATGAAATCCCGAATGTTGAGTCTGACCACCTCCTACCGCCATTTTTCTTGGATCCTTACATTATTGGGCATAAAACAGCTTCCGGCTCATTAATTGGGTTTTGTATTTTCGCTCAATACTCACAACTAAGATAGCCCGTGCAGCGCAGTGGTTAGAGGTTCTTTGCAAAGCGCATGAAGTTGTTTGTTCGACCCCAGGCTAATCCGACGAGCCTCCCATGGTGAGGAAATTCATACTAGACTCATTTGGGGACACAAACTATATTCGTAATTAGGCCAGCCATTGTATGTGTCATATATGAACAGGCCTCAAGAAAGGCTCAAAATACACTGTTAGATTACATTGTTCTCGAGTGAGTAGTTAATTCCAATAATTTCAACATATGCCCACGCAACAGCCAAACGCTATGCCTTCGACGATCAAGCACTCTGAAAGAGTATTACGGTGATTGTTCCATAGTACGCTGAGTGTAAAAAGTCCGTCGTCGTCTCCTCTATGTAGGGGCAGATCCCCGAGGAATTGACTAGACAAAAAGGAGCTGTGCGGCTGACGAGGCTGGAAGACCGACACACGTGTCTTGCACTGCATAAGTGCCCATAACAGTCCTTGTAGAAGGCTCCGAAAAACTCATCGTTGCAGTTCATTTTTGAATTTTTGGTATTTATCCAGAACACCGCAAACGTTTTTCGTGGAGATATTATAGATTACTGTGCGAAAATACTGACTTTTACATAAAAAATCTGCTTCGCGATATTTTTGCTCAATATGCGTCCCTAGTAGAGTGCGCTGTTCAAGTTAGCTTTTCCAGCTATATGTTCATTAGGATAAACAACAAAAGTATTACAAAAAGAATTTGACGTAGAAATCAGCATTTTCACAAAGAAATTAAAAGCATCAGCTCGTGAAGGTATTGAAGCGTTCTTCAGGAATTCCAAAACTCCTGAAATCAACTGCAAGGGTGAGTGTCTCTTCGTCACGCATGAATTTGCTCCACACCGCAGATCGCTTCCTTTGACCTAACTCAGGCACATTCTTCGCCGACAAAAGACTTTGCGCTGCTGGCCTCCATTAATAACTAGAAGGCCGTAAAACAGCAAAACGATGAGTGTTTGAAAGAAGCTGTTTATTTTGTGATTAAACATTTGTGTACTAATCAGGAATCATTTCATTCAACCTCCTTTAGCGGTGTTATGACGTCATAATATACCCAGTAATATAAAGTGATGTGCAAAACCTCTGCGTCAGCTGGAATTCGAACCCACATTTCACCTTATCCGGATGTGCGTTTTCAACCGTTGCACTACCGACGCACGTTTTGTCACCACTCTTTCAACGCTACAACGCATCTATCTATGAGCGACTAACTGTCAACGGTCTGACGTTGGTGGTCGACAGCGATACTGAACCCACTGGTGCTGGCAGATATTGGGTATCGATGATTAATTAGAATTCATTCCATTTGCCGCACCTAGCGGTATTATGATGTTACGATATACCCAGTGTTGTCTTTGTTTTAGATGTTTTTGCACATCGCTCTACAACACTGGGTATATTTATGCATTAAGTTCTAAGTGCTTTAGTTATGACAAAATTTGAGTAAGTGAACTGCGTGTCAATTTGACTCCTTCAACCTCAGAAGAAGGCGAATTAGCCAAAACGTCGGTCATTATTATTGCGCTGCATTGTACTGCATTGTAATGAATTTTATCGTCAACAACTCTGTGCCTGCTCATTGAGAAACACTTGTTTTATGAGTCTGCCTTTGTCACACGTGAGTTTTACACCATATGAACGCTTCATCCAGAACTCTTTAAGATTGCTATATCTTGACTTAAATGTAAATAAGCAATTGTGTGTGCGATTTGTTGAATTTCTCATTTTAAGAGAAAGAAGTATCATGTAGCGAAGTGGTGGTAATCCCATTCATTATGCGGATTATGACCCCTTTTCTTAAAATTCACGTGAGCATGCCTCAGCACTATCATCAAATAGGCGAAAATCGACTGGGCATTTATAAAGAAGCGACAATCCCTAATTACCAGCCAATTTCACTGGAAATGCTCGAAGACCGCCTTGGATACTGGGAGGAAATGAATCGAGTGCAAGTAATACTAGGTTGGGAGAAAGTGCTAGACACTTTAATAAGCATGGGACAACTTCCATGCATATCATGGGAATATTATATGTGTTTATGTGAGTTTGAGTTCACACCGAAGACCTAGATATTATTCCCCTTTATTTTCACTTTATTACCAGCCTCTGTCATGTCCAGCGATGCAATCGAAGTTTGTGTTTTATTCGCGCCATTATTGGAGAAAGTTCTTTCACTGCCAGCTGCAGTCGACGAAATCAACGAAGTTGAAGGGGAAGGTAGAAACGGGCTAATCTGCTGTGGCACGCTGGTTTCAACGCTTTTCAATGCCGAAAATCTTGTCCTATACAGGCCTCGTCCAGTGCGTCCTATTTTGATCGTTCAAAGAAGTTAAATATGCATGTCAAGAGTTCTGTGATTCGAAGTCCAAGGAATGATACTTCGACCAGATCCGAAACTTGGCGGTACACTTGTTTGAGGATTCATGCATAAATTTTCAATTTTTTACAAGTGCCTCAGAACTTTCTTTCCAACCTAATACATCAGGTCGACTTGACTTACACCTTCTGTGTTCTGGTATGCTGAAGCCGGCGTCGCGCAGGTGTGCTCGAGTAGATGCAGATAGCATTCTTGAAATTTATATTGTGAGATTGTATCGTTAAATCACGTGAGATTCTGTAAAAGTGGCTACAAACTATATAGTAGGTGATTAGCGTCGCCTCCAATGCAAGATGTATGCTGTCAGGGAAGTATCATAATATCATAACCTAGTCGTTTTACCAAGGCTCTAGGTCTTCTCGATCAAAGTTTCTATCGCCTCTCACCGAAGAACTAAAAGGTCCATAACAGTCAAGAACTAGGCGCCGTACGATATGCCGATCACGATAGATTGAGGGTGTCTCAAAAATCACGTCGTCCTGACTAAACATCAAATCAATGAAGTCAGAATCGTTTTAGTATTTCTTCCTTACAAAGTTAGAGTTGACATTTGATCGGTAAAGGACTGCGTGTTATGGAGATTGAGAAACAGCTACTGATGGAGGATATCAGGACCAAGATCTTGCTTGGACTCTCTTCTCCAACGCTCTCTTGCAACCGCATAATGACGCCTTATTTCTACTGTGTTCAGAACTACAAAGAGATTCGATTCGACAAGCATTTCACGAGTTTCGTGAAGAAGAGGAAATCCTTAGAAGCAGCCGAAACAACGCTCGAAATGTTTCTACATCTCCTTCGTTTGGAGTGTTTTCTTAAGAATACAGCTCAAATTTCAATATGCCAATAATCATTTTTGAGCCACGCATGTCATATGGTCTGTCAAAATGGGCTGACTTATAAAGCCCGATACACGTTGCGATATGCCCGATGTGTTCCGACCTTGCGATCTCGTCATAGGGCAGTTACCCTTTCGTCTTTTGCCACTCCTGTGTGGGTACATCAGTCGCCACACTAAGAGAGCGACGACGAACGTTTTCCACTTTATGTCCGGTGAAATTGTCACGAACACAGAGTGTTGTGCACTCGATTGCTCTTGACTAGTATATTTAATATATTATATGTTCCGTTTCGAGTGTTTTCCTCAAGATCATAGCTCAAATTTCAATATGCCAAATAGTCATTTTTGATAATAATTTGATTTGACGATTGCTTTTGATGATAATTTGATCCAAATAGTCATTTTTGATGATGAATAAATGATACTTTCACCGGACATAGAGTAAAACGTTCGTCGTCGCGACTCTTGGTGTGGGATGGGCATCTACACAGGATTGACAAAAGACGAGGGTAATGACCAACTGACGAGAGCGCAAGGTCGAACACGTGTATCGGCTTATAGGTCATCATTTAATAGACCAATGATCTGCGTGGCTTAAAAATATTTAACATCTCTCGAGAATGAGTACAAGGAAATGAATCAAATACGAATATTTAGGCTCTGCTTAGTAGATATAATAACAGGTTATGTAAAACCAAATATCAAATGAAGAACCGCAAAAACCTTTTGTTATTTCTCATAAACATCATAAACACGTTCAGTCAATCTTTCACTCTTACCAAGCAAAATGCAAGACAAGTCAGCATAAGGCAAGTAGAAGATGAGAGAAGACCCTTCGCGAAACTCATAACTGCCGTTCAGTCTCCTCAATGTCCGTTGTCAACTTACTCTTTCATCAGAGTTATTCCCAGCTGAGCAACATAATATCAAAGGAGAAAGAGCTATGTGAGCGAAACAGCAATTGAAGTTGTACTCACTAGGAGTGATCTCATCTAGGCAGTAACAAATGCAGTCTAGGTATCGTATCAGTATAAGACACTTCATTGTCTTAGTTTCATCGAGTTGAAAAGACTTTTAGTATAATTGACACAAAAGCACTTATTGGAGCTCTCTTCAGATAGGAAGCCTTCCCACTAAACGGGGAGCTTTCATGAGGAATTTAGCAGCCTTCTAAGCTATTCTACATCGACATTACTACATGCGCGATGGTAGGGATCCGAATAAATGATCTCATTTTGCAAAAATTGCTCACAGTCATTCACGAAAACATAATGAGGAGACTGGAATGGAACAATGTAGGAGTGAGAGTTGACAATGGGGAACTATAACATCTCCTTTGTTGGTGATATCATATTTATTTTCATGATCCCATCTTCACATCGCTTTGCAGCCTTTTTCTGCATGCGTTTCGTTTCATCTCATTACCATTTATGAAGGTCTATCAACCTTCCACTTATCGATTCAATTGGTGTGCATGGACTGCTGTCTTTTCTATAAATCACTGATTGCTGATCAAGTCGATTCAGCTCTTGAGCACAATGTTAGCAAACCCCGAATACACGACTTCGTGAACACTTTGGCGCTGCCATTGTCCTCAATTGATGCATACGCCAGAAACCTGGATGCAACGTAACAACATGAAGGATCACTCAAGAAGTGCGTTATTATATTAGCTAAAAGTATTTGGTAGCTTGGTGGTGATAGAAGTGGGATCAGAAGACCCAACCACATTAATATTCAAAGACCAGAAATGCAAAAAATGTTGGAAATCAATCGGATTGAACTAATCGTATGGCTGGCTCACTCTCCAACATAAAACATCCAAAGCAGAGAATTAATTTGACTCTTACCTTTGAAAGCTTATGAACGCAAAGGCACAGCCCTCCAAGGTAGCTGTAACTCTCCTTTCGCCAAAAAAGTAGTGTAAATGTGGAGAACTAACCCAGGGTACGATGCTCTTCGCATTTGTCGATTATGCATAGTTACTGAAAAAAAAAAAAAGAAAGAAAAAAAAAAAAAAAAAAAAAAAGACAAAAAAAAAAAAAAAACAAAAAATAAAAAACACGAAAAAAAAAAAAAAAAAGAAAAAAAAAAAAAAAGAAAAAACAAAAAAAAAAAAAAAAAAAAAATAAAAAAAAAAAAAAAAATAATAAAAAAAAAAAAAAAAAAAAAATAAAAAAGACAAAAAAAAAAAAAGAGAAAAGGAAAAAAAAAAAAAAAAAAAAAAAAAAAGAAGAAAAAAAAGAAATAAAAAAAAAAAAAAAAGAAAAAAAAAAAAAAAGAAAAAAAAAAAAAAAAAAAAAAAAAAAAAATAACAAAAAAAAAAAAAAAAAAAAAAAAAAACAAAAAAGAAAAAAAAAAAGAAAAGAGAAAAAAAAAAAAAAAAAAACAAAGAACCATAACAAAAAAAGTAAGGAAAAAGAACAAAAAAAAATAAAAAAAAAAAAATGGAAAAAAAAAACAAAAAAAAAAAGAAAATAAAAAAAAAAAGAAAAAAAAAAAAAGGAAAAGAAAAAAAGACGAAAAAAAAAGAAAAAAGAAAAAAAAAAAAAAAAAAAATAAAAAAAAAAAAAAAAAAAATAAAGAAACAAAAAAAAAAAAAAAAAACAGAAAAAAAAAAAGAAAAAAAAAGTAAAAAAAAAAAAAGGAAAAAAAGAAAAAAAATAAAAAACAAAATAAAAAGAAAAAAAAAAAAAAAAAAAAAAAAAAGAACTGTAAAAAAAAAAAAAAAAAAAAAATAAAAAAAAAAAAAAAAATAAACAAAAAAAAGAAAAAAAAAAGAAACAAAAAATTAAGTAAGAAAAAATAACCAAACCCACAAAAAAACACATCAACAACAAAAAAAAAAAAAAAAAAAAAACACAAAAGAAAAAACAAA